TAACATTAGCCTGAACTACACAGCAAGTTCCAGGCCAGTCTGGGCTTCACAGCAATACCCTAACTCCTAAATAAATAAATAGAATTACAAATGACAATAAAAATAAGACAAATGGAATATAATGAAATATAAATAAAAACAAGACAAATAAAAATAAGATAAATGATACATATGCAAAATAAAGGGGCATGCATATCATACTGTGCACATGATAAAACACTTGCATTTATTTCTTTGGTTTGTTGTTTAATCTGTTTGTGGTTGAGGTAAGAGTTCTCCACGTTGCCTAAACAATTGGATAAGGGGTTATCATAAACAAAATACACGGGGCTGGGATTTCTTGGTAAGGTGCTTGGTGCACAAGCATGAGAATCTGTGTCAGATCCCCAGCAGCCACACAGGAGCCTGAGTCAGGCATAGAAGCATCTGTACCCCAGCACCCAGGGTGGGTGGGGGAAACCAAGAACCCTGGAGCTAACTGGCCAATCTAGCCAAGTCAGTCTGTGGGCTCCAGGTTCAATGGCAAACCCAGCCTCAAAAGGACAAGATAGAAAAATGACAAAAGAAAACAACCAGTGTCAACCTCTGGCTTACACACACACACAAACACTCAAGAACACATATACACACAAATCCAAGAATATGATGTCAACAGCTGCCAACAGTGTAAACACTGCAACTGTATAAAAATTCAGTGAATGGGAGATCGGCGGCGGGATCCAAACACCGAACACCCAGAGGCATTCCTGCATCCATCCGCCGGCCCAGGTACGCCAGGAGCTGTTTCCGGTTCCCATTCATCACGGCTCAGAGTCACCTGACACCAGTGACCTGCACGCCAGACCGAGTTCGGCCTCCAACTGCTGATGCCTGAACACTGCTGACGCCCAGGGAACAGTAACACCTCCATCCACGAGAAGAGGACCAACATCAGAGTATTGGATCTGTTTGCATCTACCAGAAGAGAACCTTGGTCCCATACCCACCAGGAGAGCAAGAAACTCCTGCTACACCCACCAGAAGAAAGGATGAGAAGAGGACAAGGTAAAAGCACATCCAACAACAGAAAACCCAATATGACACCACCGGAGACTAGGAAGCATACACCAGCAAGACCTGAACATCACGATGCAGATGAACCAGAAAAGAATGACCTTAAAAGCATCTTCTGAAAAATGATAGAGGACTTCAAAGAGGACATGAGAAAATCCCTTAAAGAAATGGAAGAAAAAACAAACCAAAAAATACAAGATATCAACAAATCTCTTAAGGAAACAGTTCAAGACATAAAAACTGAATTAGAGACAATAAAGAAAGCACAATCTGAGTGAATTCTAGAAATAGAAAAGCTGGATAAATGATCAAGAACTACAGATGTAAGCATAACCAACAGAATACAAGAGATGGAAGAGAGAATCTCAGGAGTTGAAGACACACTAGCGGAAATAGATTCATCAACCAAAGAAAATCTTAAGTCCAACAAATCCCTATCACAAAATATCCAGCAAATATGGGATACCGTGAAAAGATCAAACCTAAGAATAATAGGTATAGAAGAAGGTGAAGAAATCCAACTCAAAGGTGCAGAAAACATATTCAACAAAATCATAGAAGAAAACTTTCTCAACCTAAAGAAAGACATACCAATGAAAATACAAGAAGCCTACAGAACACCAAATAGACTAAACCAAAAAAAAAAAAGGTCTCCTCGCTTGAAAATAAAAATTAAAAAAACAAACATTAAAGACAAAGGAGAAATTTTAAAGGGAGGAAAAGAAA